ACACAAATGTGCATAGGACTGAGGCTATAATATTTTTATTCCAAATAATTTGCCTTTTTAGAAGTTCCTGGAGCATATTTCTGACCAAAGTAAGTGTTCAAAACCACAGAGTACATAAGATTATGGTATTCCCAAACAAGCTCTATGAAAATCACTTACAGCTACTTCTAGTTATGTTTACTCGGACATCCCACTGAGTTCAATGGTGCTTACTTCCAAATAAATCTTCACAGTATTGCTGTCTTGAAAATTATTTTTAAACATATTATTATTATTATTATTATTATTATTATTATTATTATATTTATTTATACCCCGCTTTATCTCTGCTGAAGGAGACTCAAAGCAGCTTGACATAAAGGCATTAGCATACAATTTAAAATATACAAATATATAAACATTTATGGCATTTTTCCCCATGGAAACACTACTTATTTATAAGAGCACAACTTTGGAAACATACTACAGTATATTGTTAGTGATAAAGTAACATGTTTCTTCCTCTACGCTTCAACTGTTTTGCCGGCTCATTCTTTATATCATCAACTACCATCTGTCTAATGTTTCAGTATTTCAAGTACATTAAAATAATTCATATTAATTTTCTGTGTAAAAAAAACTATTAGTCATTGCAGTTTCACCACAAATCTCCCGCTTTTCTACTGAGACCATACTTAGTAGAAAGGAGCATAACATTTTAATGAATCTCATATATAGGTATGTATCCAGTTAAATAAATATACAAAGAAAAAAATACTGACTGTTTTTGTCTCTTACCCTCAAATACTGATAGGAATGTGTTATGACTGGTCATGAAGGGGAATCCTACATCCCAGCATGTTTCTGGGAAAAAGAAACCAAACTAGGACTCCACAGACCAAAGACAACTGTCTGAAAACATTTTCCCCTCAAGGCATCAGTAGGTTCTAAATTTAAAGGCAATTTTTTTGTTCTGCAATACTGCATCTTGGAAAGAATCGAAAACAAAATCACAACTATTCCACATTCCAGTCTAATAACTAAGAAGCTATTTTTAAGAAGCTAACCACACCAGGACTACAACACTCTATAGGACAATACTTACCTAGCATAAACAATTCCAAATTGTATAGTTATTTATATTAATATTAAAAGAAATTAATGTTTGGCTGTAAACCCACCATAAAGTTTCTCGTAGTAAACTCCATTTAACAAAGTAGATTTAACTTTTAAATAAACATGTGTATTCACTTCTATTATTAAAAACTTTCATTCCTTACATGAAAGTTTGAATGTTTTATTATTATCTGTCAGAATTCACAAAACATTAACAGTTAACTATTGTGAAACAATCATGCAAAATTATTTGGGGTCAAAGTGAAAACAAACTAAAATTTAGTTTGCATAACATTCAATAATTATGCTAAATTTTTGGAAGAAGTTATATCAACATTGTAATTATGTTAATGTTTCACTGTCTCCTTTAGCATCTTTATACACATTTATAGACTTAACTCCCCTCTATAACTCCACATATATTTACAATCCCATACATTCTTACCTGCATTTAATTTAGAGTATATCCCAATGAAAATGTGCATAAAACTGGATAGTAAAGATCTATGTGCTGGTTGTTTTAAAAGCAGAAGTAAACTAATAGTATTGAACTACCTATTTATTTTTAGAAGCAATAGATTACTTTCCTTCTGCAAAACTCCTCTGTTAAGATACGCTCATATAAAAAGTTATTTTAAAGAATCCACAAGATTATTGTTTTTTTCAGACCAGAAAGAAAACCTTACACAACTCCAGTACAAAGTTGATTTGAACAGGACAACACAGCATAGAAGATCAAAACAAAGAGTACAAAGGGGTTGACAAGTGATTCAAGTTTATGCTCGAAGAGGATAAACTATCTTCTGGCTCTCTCTGCTTTGGACCTTGTACTGACCCCTTCAGTGACTTAACCTTGCAACAGCCAAAATCAAGTGCAATGTTTGTTTTTATAGCACAGTCAAACAACTCTCCACCATTTCTTCAAATGTTGAAAGATGGGTTAAAAAAGGAAAGATTGGAAAGAAAAGCACCGAGTTTAAATATGTTATTCTTACATAGACAATACATTCCAAACTATCCTCTTTTGCTCACTAAAATTAAGTCATCATAGTTTCGTCTAAATATTTCAGAAAATTTAATACTTTCAGGAAGGTATCACCCTAGAGGTGTCATTCTTAGGGTGCATTTATGCTGTCAAATTAATGCAGTTGGACAACACTTCGATTGCCATGGCTCAACATTAATTTCCAGGTTATGGTAATATTAATACAAAAATAACTATCTACATAATTTGTTTATGTTAGATAAACATTGTCATATAGAGTGTTTGCTGCTCTAGTGTAGTTAGCTCTCAAAAATAGCTTCTTGGCTAATAGGCTGGAATGTGGAAGAATTGTGATTTTAATGCTCCCCAAGTGACACTATTGGAAGCTGTAGTTTTACAAAATCTTTAGTCTTCTCAGCCCCCACCCAAAAGTGCTGGTGCCTCAGTGTAGGTGCACCCATGTTCAACAAGTGGTCAATCCAATGGGGGCTCACTTCACCTAGAACTCAGTTTCCAGGACTAATGTTATTTGTGCTTATGAACGCAGGTATGTTCTTGGACAAGGGGTGATTATTTTCGATTTACGCCCCATCTACACTGCCACTGTAATCAGATAGAACTGGATTATATGGCAGTGTAGACTCGTACAATCTGGTTCAATGCAGTTCAATCTACATTATATGAGGCCTCTTCTATACTGCCATATAAAATCCTGATTATCTGCTTTGAACTTGATTATCTCACAGTGTAGACTCATATAATCCAGTTCAAAGGAGATAAAATGGATTATCCGATTTGATATTCTGGGTTATATGGCCGCATAGAAGGGACCTGAGACGTTAACCATATAATGCAGTTCAAACTGCATTATATTATAGTGTAAATGGGGCGGACTAGGCCTTTTCTACACAGCCATATAAAATCCAGATTAGCAATTTTGAATTGGATTAAATGGCAGTGTAGAGTCATATAATTCAGTTCAAAGGAGATAGCATGGATTATCTGCTTTGATAATCTGGACTATATGGCAGTGTAGAAGGGCCCTTAAAGAGTCGCATAGAGGTTTCAGTTTTGAATCCCTCCTTTCGGTTCGGTTCAAAATTGACCATACCTTAGAATCCTATGCTGTATAGAGACGAAATGAAATCAGGGGTCCTTCTACACAGCCATATAATCCAGAATATCAAGGCAGAAAATCCCACAGTATCTGCTTTGAACTGGGGCCCCTTCCACACAGCTGTATAAAATCCCATATTTAACTGGATTATATAGCAGTGTGGATTCAGGGACCTTCCACTCAGTCATATAGCCCAGAATATCAAGGCGGATAATACACAATATCTGCTTTGAACTGGGTTATTTGTGGACTCTTCCACATAGCTGAATAAAATCCTACATTATCTGTTTTAAACTGGGATATATTGCAGTATGGACTCAGATGCTCCAATTCAAAGCAGATATTGTGAGTTATTGCGCCTTGATATTTTGAGTTATACGGCTATGTGGAAGGGCCCTGAATCCACACCGCCATATAATCCAGATAATGTAGGATTTTATACAGCTGTAAGGAAGGGCCCTCAGATAACCCAGTTCAAAGCAGGTATTGTGGGATTTTCTGCCTTGATATTCTGAGTTATATGGCTGTGTGGAAGGGGGCCTGAGAGCTGAAGAGAATATCACATTTTCTGCTTTGAACTGGGTTATATGGCAGTGTGGACTCAGATAACCCAGTTCAAAGTAGATACTGTGGGGTTTTCTGCCTTGATATTGTGGATTATATGTCTGTGTCCACATTGTGAGTTATATGTCTGGGTCCAGAGTCCACACTGCATATATTCCAGTACAAAGCAGATATTGTGGGGCTATATATTCAGCTGTGGGGAAGGGCCCAGAGTCCACACTGCCATACATTCCAGTGCAAAGCAGATATTGTGAGATTGCATTCAGCTGTGGGGAAGGGCTCAGAGTCCACACTGCCATATATTCCAGTTCAAAGCAGATATTGTGAGATTGTATATTAAAGTGTGGGAAAGGGCCACAGAGTCCACACTGCCATATACACCAGATAACGTAGGATTTTATACAGCTGTAAGGAGGGGCCCTCGGATAACCCAGTTCAAAGCAGGTATTGGAGATTTTCTGCCTTGATATTTTGGGTTATAGGGCTGTGTGGAAGGGGGCCTGAGAGCTGAAGAGAATATCACATTTTCTGCTTTGAACTGGGATATATGTGGACTAAGATAACTCAGTTCAAAGTAGATACTGTGTGGTTTTCTACCTTGATTTTGTGGGTTATAGGTCTGTGTGGAAGGGCCCAGAGTCCACACTGCCATATATTCCAGTTCAAAGCAGATATTGTGGGATTGTACTCAGTTGTGTGGAAGGGCCCATAGTCCACACAGCTGAATAAAACCCTACATGATCTGCTTTGAACTGGGATATATTGCAATGTGTGTGGAAGGGCCCTGAGTCCACACTGCCATATATTCCACATAACCCAGTTAAAAGTAGATGCTGTGGGGTTTTCTGCCCTGATATTCTGGGTTATATGGCTGTGAGGAAGGGTTCAGAGTCCACACTGCCATATATTCCTGTTGAATGCAGATATTGTGGGGCTGTATTAAACTGTGTGGGGAAGGGGCCCCAGAGTGGCTTGCTGCATCCTGAGGCCTTCCCTTGAGGCTTTCTGAGGGAGGCTGCAGGTTCAACCTCAAAGCCATGGAAGCCTTGTGTGTGTGTGTGTCTTCCCCTTCCCCCCACTCCCCCTCCCCGCTTTATTTCCCCAGCCCCCCAACGCTGTGGGCCGCCTTCTCTCCTTTGGAAGGCCCCGTGTTTCCTGAAGTAACGCCTGAACGGGAGCACAAGGCTGTTTCTTCCCCCCCCCCCCCTTCCTCCCTCCCTTTCTCTGCCTGTCTCTCACCTGTCAGTCGCAGCTTGACGGGCCCGTTCCTCCGGGCCCCGGGGTTGGACATGACCCCCTCCCCCCGACGAAGGCAGGAGAAGGCGGAGGAGGGAAGGCAGGCCCGCTAATGGAGGCGGCTCAGGGAAGAAGCAGCAGCAGCAGCAGCAGCAGCAGCAAGCAGGAACAGCGGCGGCAGCGGCAATCGCCGCCGAAGGGAGAAATGCCCGGATGTGCCCAGTGTCGCCATGAGCAGGGCTCGCCTCAGAAGAGGAGGAGGGAGAGGAGAGGAGGCCGCCTTCCTTCCTTTCTTCCTGCCTGCCTTCCTTTCCTTCCTTCCCGCCCTCTTGTCGGGCAACAAAGGAGGGGAAGGGAAGCCAGAGGGCTGTCCCTCCTCCACACAAAGGGGGTCTCCGCTGTAAAACCGACTGCCCCGCCTCCTCCTGGCTGCTGGGAGGCTGCACTGGATCCTTAACGCAGTTTGGCCCTGCTTGAACTGTTATGGGGTCCTGAGCTGTCTGGAAGGGGACTTCTCAGTGGGCCCTTCCACACAGTTCTATATCCCACAACATCAAGGGAGAAAATCCCACAGGATCTGTTTTGAACTGGGTTATCTGAGTCCACACTGCCATATATTCCAATTCAAAGCAGAAATGGTGGGATTTTGTTCAGCTGTGTGGAAGGGCCCTCAGATAACCCAGTCCAAAGCAGATATTGTGGGATTTTCTGCCTTTATATTCTGGGATATAGGGCTGTGTGGAAGGGGCCTGGTTTCTCTGAGTCCACACTCCAATAATATGAAGTTTTCTGTCTTGATATTCTGGGATATAGGGCTGTGTGGAAGGGGCCTGGGTTGTCTGAGTCCACACTCAAATAATATGGGGTTTTCTGTCTTGATATTCTGGGATATAGGGCTGCGTGGAAGGAGCCTGGGTTATCTGGGTCCACGCTCAAATAATATGGGGATATAGGGCTGCGTGGAAGGGGCCTGGGTTATCTGAGTCCACACTCAAATAATATGGGGTTTTCTGCCTTAATATTATGGGATATAGGGCTGTGTGGAAGGAGCCTGGGTTATCTAAGTCCACACTCAAATAATATGGGGTTTTCTGTCTTGATATTCTGGGATATAGGGCTGCATGGAAGGGGCCTGGGTTATCTGGGTCCACACTCCAATAATATGGGGTTTTCTGTCTTGATATTCTGGGATATAGGGCTGTGTGGAAGGGGCCTGGGTTATCTGAGTCCACACTCCAATAATATGAGGTTTTCTGTCTTGATATTCTGAGATATAGGGCTGTGTGGAAGGAGCATGGGTTATCTGAGTCCACACTCCAATAATACGGCGTTTTCTGTCTTGATATTCTGGGATATAGGGCTGTGTGGAAGGGCCCCATAGTCACCAAGGCCCCTTTCACACAGCTGTATAAAATCCACACTAAACTGGTGTGGACTCAGGGCCCTCCACACAGCGATATAACCCAGAATATCAAGGCAGAAAATCCCACAATATCTACTTTGAACTGGATTATATGAGGCCCCATCTACACTGTCATATAAAATCCAGATTATCCGCTTTGAACTGGGTTATCTGGCAGTGTTGACTCATATAATCTGTTTCAAAGCAAATAATCTGGATTATTTGATTTGATCATCTGGATTATATGGCAGTGTAAAGGGGGCTGAAGGCTGGGGGCCCTTCCACAAAGTCCTATAACCCAAAATATCAAGGCAGAAAATCCCACATTATCTGCTCTGAACTGGGTTATCTGAGGGACCTTCCACACAGCCCTATATCCCAGAATATCAAGGCAGGGAATCCCACAATATCTGCTTTGAACTGGGTTATCTGATGGCCCTTCCACACAGCCCGGTTACCCAGAATATCCAGGCAGACAATCCCACAATAGCTGCTTTGAACTGGGTTATCTGAGGGCTCTTTCTCACAGCCCTATATCCCAGAATATCAAGGCAGGAAATCTCACATCTAAGTGTGGATTTAGCTAACCCAGTTCAAAGCAGATATTGTGGAATTTTCTGCCTTGATATTCTGCAATATAGGTCTGTATGGAAGGGTCCTGAGTACATAGATAGTGTGGGATTTCCTGCTTTGATATTCTAGGCTGTAGGTCTGTGTGGAAGGGCCTTCAATCTATACTACCCAATATCCCAGGATCTGATCACAAATTATCTACTTTGTACTGGATAATATGACTTGACACTGTCCGATAACAGTATGTAAAAAAAAGTTGGAAAAATTGTCTGTTCCTGGTTTGAAAGTGTTACTTCTTTTTTAATTGAGTGGTGTTTACTTTGAAACTAATCATAGTATTTTTTTTTCTTACCCGCCTCTCCTTATGGCTTGAAGTGGCTGAGGCTCCTTCCACACTACCCCTATATCCCAGGATTTGATCCCAGATTATCTTCTTATCCCAGAGTATCTGTCAGTGGAGACTCATATAATCCCCTTTAAAGCAGAAAATCTGGTATCAGATCCTGGGATATAGGGTAGTGTAGAAGGGGCCTAACTTTGGAAGTAGTTGTTATACTCCAGAAACTTCATTTTTGTGGCTGCCACAAACTATGTTGAATTGCTTGAGACTCAATGAGATATTAATTGAAAAACTACAGCAAAATGTGCTGCAGGATGTCCCGCAAAAACAAAGTTTTTGCATCTTAATAAATTTTTCTCATGTTTTCAGGATAAAACGAATTAGGACATGACATTTATAACCCAGGCCCTTTCTACACTGCAATATAAGATCCAGATTATCTGCTTTGAACTGGATTTTATGGCAGTGTAGACTTTGGGTCCTTCCACACAGCCATATAACCCAGAATATCAAGGCAGAATAATCCACAATATCTGCTTTGAACTGGAATATCTGAGTCCACACTGCCAGTTCAAAGCAGATAATGTAGGATTTTATTCAGCTGTGTGGAAGGGGCCTGAGCCCACACCGTCATATAATTCGGTTCAATGTGGATTTTATACAGCTGAGTGGTAGCGGCCTAAGGCTCTTTCTACACTACCATCACTTCAAATCAGATAATCTGGATTTTATATGCAAGTGTAAATCCTGCCTTAGGGCCCCTCCACACAGCCATATAGCCCAGAATATCAAGGCAGATAATCCTCAATATCTGCTTTGAATTGGGTTATCTGAGTTCACATTACCATATCATCCAGTTCAATGTGGATTTTATACAGCTGTGTGGAAAGGGCCCAAGTCTTATCCAGGGCCACTTCAGCCTTATAAAGATCCTTGAATCCAAGAATACAGAGGGCCAACTGCAGGCAGTCCCAAGTTACAAATATCCCATTTACAAATTACTCATAGTTAAGAACGGGCAGGACAATAGGAAGGGAGTAAAATCTACCCCTAGAAAGGGAAATTCACTTCTGGAAGAGTTATTATCATGGGGAAAAGGTGGCTCCAATGAAGCTTTCTCACCAGTCCTTGTTTCCACAACAAACCACATTTTCCAAAATCCACTGGTCACAGAGAAAGAAAGTAAGGGAGAATCTTTTGAACAGGGGCACAGTCAGCAAAACAAACACCATAGGGGTGTTAACCATTCCCTATGCTATCCATATATATATATATATATATATATATATATATATATATATATATAGCTTGAGTTACACTTCAGAAATGTACCTGTTCCAACCTACATAAACATTCAGTTTAAGAACCAACCTACAGAAACTATCTTGTTTGAAGATGGAGATTTAAATAGAAATGTAGTACATCTCACCACAGTGGGAAAGATTTCGTGGCCAGATGGTCTCCTCAATCTGCTATGTAGGTCTTAATTGTTGATGGACAACTTCTACGCTTATGCACTCCCTTCCTAGGGCCCTTCAACACTGCCATATAATCCAGGGCCCTTCCACACAGCTCTATATCCAAGAATATCAAGGCAGAAAAATCCCACAATATCTGCTTTGAACTGGGTTATCTGAGTCCACACTCAGATAATGTGGGGATTTTCTGCCTTGATATTCTGGGATATAGRGCTGTGTGGAARGGCCCTGAGACTATATAGTTATGGTGATCACTGGGGGCCCTTCCACACATCCCTATATCCCAGAATATCAAGGCAGAAAATCCCACAATATCTGCTTTGAACTGGGCTATCTGAGTCCACACTCAGATAATGTGGGGATTTTCTGCCTTGATATTCTGGGATAGAGGGCTGTGTGGAAGGGCCCTGAGACTATATAGTTATGGTGATCACTGGGGGCCCTTCCACACAGCCCTCTATCCCAGAATATCAAGGCAGAAAATCCAACAATATCTGCTTTGAACTGGGCTATCTGAGTCCACACTCAGATAATGTAGGGATTTTCTGCCCTAATACTCTGGGATATAGGGCTGTGTGGAAGGGCCCCCAGTCCAAAGCATATAATCTGGAATTTATTCAACTGTGTAGAAGAGACCCCAGGGCCCTTCCACACAGCCAGAATATCCAGGCAGAAAATCCCACAATATCTGCTTTGAACTGGGTTATCTGAATCCACACTGCCATATAACCCACTTAAATGTGGATTTTATACAGCTTTGTGGAAGGGCATAAGTGTTCTTCCTTTTAACTGGAGATCACTCACATAGAGAGGTCTCCTCTTTGTAAAATAAACCATAGTCAATAGAGAATGCCTTTTTTCATGTGATAACAAACAATATGCTTAAGGCAGGGATATATGCTCTCAAAGGCATTAAATGCAATAAATATTTGCACATGTAAAGCATTCTTGCCTCCTACACTCTGGGAGTGTCAAGAAACAATGTGTTCAGCATTATTGCTTTGAAGGGTGGGTTTTGTTTTAATTATATGCTCCCTTCACCTCCTGTGTGTTTGCAAACCCCTAGTACTTTTTGTGAGCAAAATCCATAACCCACCTTGCTATGAAACTATAGAGGGGTAATGTGAAAGTTTCATAGGCAGTTTTATACTTTGTTCACACATCCCTTGCCTTTAACAGACCCTCAAATATTCCTTGGTTTTGCCTCTTTCCACCCTGGAGACACACATCCTCAATCACTACCCTTCTGGCGTCTGGAAGATGACTGGAAGGAACTCCCTTTTGAGCTTTTCAGGGTTGCTATCATCCAAGAAGTGAGCTGTTGGGTGATGCAAGACACTCCCTTCCCCCTGGGACTGTGCTCTTTTACCTCATCTTGAAAGGATTCGTTGCTTGGTGATATCAGCCTGGATCGCTTGACAGACTGTAATGTTAATACTTGAATCCTTGAGTGCTCACATCACAAAATCCACTCCACAAGAGACGTGCGGATACTTTAAAAAATCTGGTTGAAGTGTCAAAATACTCCTCATCCATCCAAAAACCTTGGCGGAATTAATTTCAGGACTGATGCCTCTTTCAAGAAAGGGAGATGATCGCAGG